GCATGGTGCAGTATTCTCATTTCTGAAGGTAATGAGCTCGATCAAGTTATTATCTACAGAATTTATTATTAACTATTTATGTGTTAAAATTAAATGCTTTTCGGATAATTTATTCTTCCGTTTCATCATTTTATTATCATAATTTTAAAAATTATTTTAATTTCAATGTGGGACGTAATTGTTTCTTTGCATTTGATTTTAGCCTCTACAATTGCAGCGCAAAAAATGTCAGCCTATAGTCGATTCTTTAAAACTAGTTGCTTCTTTAACCCTCAACCTCGACTAACTCTTATATTTAAACTAAGCTCCTATCAAGTTTTATTGGTAGGACTTGGTGATTTCTCTATCCCATATTTGCACTTGTTTATGACCATGATTGAAACAAGCTCCTGGAAAATTTCATTCCTCTTTGGACGTTTCGTTCAGGGAACTTGTAACATCGTTAGGAAAAATAAATGTTAGGTAACTTCTGATGAAATTTCCTGTATCATGAATAGGCCATCTGATGCGATCTACAGCTATACAGTAGGATCACTGATCTCCCAAGCATGATTTCTAATAAAGAAAATATATTGGTGTAACTTATTAGAATACTATTTGCAGCATCTTACTATCTAATCTTGATATGATTTGAGTCCCTAATAAAGAGCTATCTCTCTCATCCAGTTTGCCTTACAACTCTGGAGCTCTAATATTTAGACTTTGTTGTCGAGTTTTACGGTATAATTGCTTGGCTCGTATAAGCAAGTTCCGAATCCCGTCGGGGATGTTAATGAAACATATACTAGGCTTAAATTTGGGTCAAGACTGGACCCAAAGGCTTTATACGAAGCTATAAACAGCTATGCACACTTATTTTATCGTGGGCACATCCACTTTTAGCTCTGGTCAACTGAGCCAATTATGGTGATGAGCATTTCATTCCACTTTTAGCTGAACCCCGTCGTCAATATGATCTCTAAGTAACTATTTCTCATCCTTCCCGTTCATCATATCTTTATCGTTACTTATGAATTATAAAGGCAATCGCTCATTCTCTGTGGCAAACTAACTGAATAGTCACCTCTGGTTCCAGAAAATAGCGGCAGTATCCTGTGATAAGCCTTACTTTGAAACATTGTTAAAGCTAACTGAAATTCCAGCTGTAATTATGTATGTGAGAAACAAAGTGAAAATCTTTGACATACTTTTAAATATGTCGCTATCTCCAAACATGTTGTTTTTGATGTCATTTCACTTATTCTGCTTGGTTCATACCTGTAGCTCTAGAAAGTAGTCTCTTTATTTTTCTCCCTGGCAGGGTGATCCATCTGCGGGTCCCTTTGTGGCCTCCTTATCTGGTGGTTCAATCCCTTCTGCAGGGATCTCTGCCACTCCCTCTGCCCTTATCTCCACTATTCGCCAGGCCACCATTCCTTCCCTGTCTCCACCTGACAATCTGAATTCCTCAGTCGAGCCAATAAGCTCTGTTCCTCCCATTTCTGTCCCTCTGTCGTCCGAGTTGGCCTCGAGCTCACTCACATCTTCTGCAGGCAGTTCTGCTTCTCGTCTTGTTGGTCAGACGGCTTGCGAGTGGAGTGGTCCTATACGCCTGGACGGAGACGGTCAAATGCGAGTGTTGCTCTTCTCTCTTAACAGGCGGGCCCTTGGACAAATGGTCAAAGTAAGAGATTCTTTGCGCCGGCTTTTTTTCTATTTCCTTTCATTTGGATTTTATTTTTTTCCTATTTTGTATTAGCGTTTACTGCTTTGCTTTCTTTTTCATATTTTTAGCTATTGTTTTAGTGGTTCTTTTAAGCTAAATAACTGATGATGGTGATATTAATTTTAAATTATTTTAATCGAAGGTATAAAGACCAAGATGGTGTGGCCTTTTGTGTGGTCGCAGACTCCTTTCGTTGAATAG